TTCATATCTTTGGTGTTGATTTAGAGAAACTCTTAAGCCTATATCTTTTTGCTTTAGTCATGAATATTCTCACTAGATATTTGGAAAAGGATATACCTTGGTTTGTACTTTTTTTATAATGATATTCTTCTTGTTGATAAGATTAGATAGGGAATTTAAGGTAAACTTCAATTGTGGACATCAACCATAGAGTCTAAAGGTTTCGCTTGTTTAGATCTAAAACTGAATATATATAGTACAATTTTAGTAGTAATACACCTAGTGAGGGGATTGTAACTTTGAGCAATTAAGTCATTAATAAGAGTACATATTTTAGATATCTTGAATCTATTGTTTAGAGTGATGGTGAAATAGAAGAGAATGTTATTAGTAGAATTCAAAGAAAACTTAAATAAATCAAATTGAAGTTTTAGATATCTTGGATCTATTGTTTTTAATAAATGTTTTTATAAATAAGTAAGATTATAAACTTAAATATATAATATATTAAAAGAAAAAAGAAAAAAAGGAAACTTTAAAAGAGAAAAATATTTATAAAAAATGAAAAAAAAGAGAAAATTTACATACATACCACTATATTTCTAACCTTTTGCATATCTAACACCTTAAATAATAATATTACTCTTATACCACCCTAAACTTATACTTTACATCACTTCTACCACTCGATTTAGGTCGGACCTCATGACATTTTTCTCCCATCTTGTTTGGCGTAAATGTAAGAGGAAGTTAGGGCGCAAGTGGTAGAGGATTCATAGATTACATTAGACTTTTTTTACTTCCGTGCTTTCCCAGCTATAAGCAAGGTTAAAACCTGCTCTGAATTAGATTTTTTATAAATGTAGATTTTGATTTAATACCAATTTTGCTCTTTCCAATTAATTCAAAGCTTTGTGTAAATTTGACCAATTATTATTGCTAATTGCATATGTATAAATCTAATATTGTGCCTTTATTCAAGCTTTGTAAAGGTTTTAATGAGTTCTTCAAATTCATCCGTTGTGAAAAATCGACTGCAGCATTCCAAGGTTCACTGCCATTGCCACCTAAAATGTGCCATGTATACCTGCCACCGAGGACCTAATAGTGGAAGATAGTCTTATAGCGTTTATAATCGAAGTGAGAATGATTGCAGTTACTATAAATTGGTAGATGAGGAAGAACAGGAAGAGCCAACTTATGTCACACAATATGAATTTAAGACATGTGATGCAAGGAATTCTAAGAAGCTTGACTTGATTGTTCTTATGATGAATGTTTTTTTAGTGATGATTTTATCGACATTATAGTCCGAGTTTATTTTGGCTAGTGCTATGTTGTGTTAAACCTTGGAATGCCATGAAAAATATGATGTTTTTTTTGAGAAATGATGTATTTTATCCTTCTATTGTATGAAATTTGTATTTTCATCTTTTGTGTAATGAAAAATATTCGGGGAAATGGAGTAATTGTTTTTCTTTTCTTTTTTGTGTTAAGCAATGGGTGAGAAGCTCCAACCAAGCAGGTTTTAAGATATATATTAAATTTTACCAAGCTGTAACTACAAGCAAAGGATTAACCATGTTGATAATGTTCTAGATTTTTTTAGTTATCTAAAAGTACTTAAATTTTATGAAGTTAAGAGTTAACCTTGGCATATAGTTAAATTTTACGAAGCTGCAGCTATAAGCAAAGGAATAACCATGTTGATAATGCTCCAGATTGCTAAAACAAGGAAAAAATGAGATTACTAATTTTTAAGTCTTATGGACGTTAATGTTCTCAAAATTAGATTGTCTCCAAAATTTTGCCCCATATATTTGTCTCAAAAATTATCCAAAAATACATTTGAGTTTGCACAGTTAAGTTTGATAACAAAAGCATAAATAGAATACACATACCCAGAAATACATTTCTATCAAAAACCATCAACATATGAATACTCATACTCCACTCCATCGTAAAATTCTCAACAATCCGTCTACTTGCCAACTTTGTACGTTTTGGTAATAAGTTCTTGCGTTGTGTCATTGTGTCATCATTGATCTTTTGTAATGGGCTGTTGCATGTGCTCCGATGATGCCCCCAAAGGGAACACCTGCTACATTTATGCAATTTTTTATCTTTTTCTAGAAAATTTGGTAATCTTCTTTTTTTGGGTCTCCCTCTAGGTCTTGATGTGTTAGGCACTTCAATATCCACCACATCTTGAACTACTTGCCATTGATCTTTATCAGGTAATGTAGCTATATCTCCCTTGTACGCCATCCTGTACCTAAAACACATAGGAAGAAGTGTTCATCATGCAATGGAAAGGCAAGGAATTAAAAAAAAATTATAAATATGGTACTAATAAAAGTTACCTATAAACGTAGTACCAATTATGAATATATGTATATCATAGTGGATGCTCCTTCATCCCAATGAAGGCTATAGCGTGAATGCAAAGAAGTCCTGTTAACTGCCAAATCCGACATGTGTCTTTAGATTCAACATCAACAATATGTCTTAAATGCACAAATTATACCTCAGCCTTGGAAATAGTAGATTGACAGGGGCGAACTAACATATGTTCTTTTCTTGTAGTAATTTCTCTTATGTATTCTTCTACATGTGGAACTATTTCACGTTGCCATGTTATGCTCATCATCTTACGTGTCGCCCTTTGCTTTATAAGTTTACCATAAATTATGTAAATTAAGTCAACAACTAATTTATTTCAAGCATCTACTATCCATGCATTGAATGTTTCCGCGAAGTTGCTGGTATTGGTAGCGTGGTATATCCATAATATAAACTGGCTTCGTGACCACTTAATAAGGTACATTTGTAAGGTACACATAGATGGTTGGTCACAAAACACTCAGTTCAGCAACCCTGTCATTATAACCTGTGCTAGTATATGCATTAGATGCTGCCCAAACCAATCATTGGAGTTTATGACCATATTTGCAATGAAATGTTTTTTTCAAATTCTTCCACAAATGGCAAATACACACTCTATGCTCAGCTCCATGGTAAACTTCTCTAATGGCATCACCCAAACCCTTTTCTATATTTGAAATAAACAAAAGAAGCTCTATGTGAGGGACAATACTCTCTACCAAGTTCTGAAGGAACCATAACCATGTCTGTTTAGATTCAATCTCAATGATTTCAAATTCTAAAGGGAATAAACAGTTATTACCATCAAGTGAGGTAGCTGATAAATGCATACCTAAGTGCTTTGATTTGAGGTGACATGCATCCAAACTGATAAGAGGTCTACAACCATATAATAATCCATCTTCACAAACCTTAAAGCAAACATAAAATCTCTGAAATGAATGTTCACGGCTTTCATATGTGTATGTGATATGCAAACCCGGATTTCTACTAATCAATTCAGCATGTAGTGTTGGAACCCATTTATAATTATCATCTATATATCCAAATATATTGTCACGATCATTCTCCCAAGACCTCCACAGCTTCATGTAATGTAATGAAAGACAGTATTCTTTCTCTAAATTGTTATTGATATCTTTTGAATGAATGTCCGGATTTCTCTTGATTATCTCTTCAATCTCATTGGCAACCCATGCAGTTGTGGATAGTTTATTCTCAGCATGATTGATCTCAGGACAAGAGTGAACACCATAAACTATCATAATTTCAAAAGTTTGAGTGTTTTTACACAGAGAAGCTCGAACTCTCTATTCACAACCTTCATAAGAACATGTAGCAATGACACGTTTCTTGTCACTTGCCTTTATCCTTATTCACAAATTCTCCATGATGGCAATCGATCGTAGAGCATGTTCGAAATGTTTTGCGTCAGGAAAGAAGGTTCCAATAGCTATATCTTTATAATATAAACTTGAAACAATTGAAATACCCTCGTTATGGTTAAAAGAACATTCAACAATCTTCTTGGAAGTCACTACTTCCCTAAGGATAGAAATTGATTCATGTCCTGCAACTTATACTGAAATTACTATCTCAACACCAAATTATCATTGGATGCTTTTATCAACTCAGCCACCTGAACGTCACAAATTATATCTTTGTATTCCTTTGGTGATGTACCTTATATGTAATAATACATATTATATGGATGCCCCTTAAGCTATGTACATATTCTATCAATCTCGCCTCTAAGCACGTAAATAGTCAGTTGACCTTTCTCAAATTTAACACTACTTTGTTTGCCACCATCATACCTCTTTCTATGTTGCTCATTGGTTTGAACCCATTTTTCTCCATATTTAAAAACAACAGAAATATACTCTTTCGACTTGGAAAACATCTTCACTGCTCTGAATTGAAGCACTGTTTCATTCTAATTTCTGTTTCAAACAATCTACTTCATTATATTCAAACAATAAATAACATAACGAAAATTTTCTTTCTTCTTAC